GCTCGCAGATGCTCAAGACCAAGGTGTCGGAGTCTCGATCCGAGGATGAAGGGTCGAGCCTGCTCGATGGCAGTCAAGGCCCGAGGACGGCGACGAGGGACATCGACAATCGCCGAGGCTCGATTCTCGAGCCTCGGATGTCAAACCCGGGATCTTCGAGTCCAAGCGCTGCGATCCTCGGATCCAGGATCCAGGGCGCTCAGATGCTTGGAACCAAGATCTCGGATCCACGATCCGAAGATGGAGGATCGAGCCTCCTTGATGGCGGCCCGGGCGCCCATGGACGGCGAGGGGGGCGATCTACCAACAATCGCCGAGGCTCGGTCCTCGAGCCTCGGATGTCGAACCCGAGATCTTCGAGCCCAAGCGTTGCGACCCTCGGATCACGGATTCAAGCCGCCCAGAGCCGCATGGGGCCAAGACCTCGGGCCCTCGATCCGAGGATGGAGGATCGCGCCCCTTTGATGGCGGCCCGAGCGCCCGAGGGCGGCGCGAGGGGCGATCTGCCATCGCCGAGGCTCGGCCCTCGAGCCTCGGATGTCGAACCACAGATCTTCGAGTCCAAGCCCGGCGACCCTCGGATCTAGGATCCGAGGTGCTCGCAGATGCTCGAGACCAAGATATCCTGCTTGATGGCAGCATGGGCCCGAGCACGGCGACGAGGGCGATCTACCAAGAGATCTTCGAGCCCAAGCTTGGCGATCCTCGGATCTAGGATCCAAGGCGCTCGAAGATGCTCGGGGCCAAGATCTCGGATCCTCGATCCGACTATCTAGCCTCCTTCATGGCGGCCCGGAACTGACGACGGCGACGGTGACGATCGAGGATCGCCGAGGCTCGATCCTCGATCATCGGATCGCGAACCTGAGATCTTCGAGTCTCAGCCTGGCGGCCCTCGGATCCAGGACCCGAGGTGCTCGAAGATGCTAGGACTCAAGATCTCGGGTCCTCGATCAGAGCATGGAGGATCGAGACAGCTTGATTGCTCGATGCTTGATGGAGGATCAGTCGGCGAGAGGGGGGTAGCACCCCGCCGCTTGCAACGCTTCACGCGCGTGCTCGAACGCTCTCTTGTAGCTTGAAAAGCAGACGGGGCTAGAGCGCGTGCCTCGAAACGGCGCCCTCGTGGCGAAAAACACGGGAGCGCTTGGCTCGGGGCGCTCGTGCGCTGGGATCTCAGGCGCCCACGGGCATGAACGTGGAGGTCTCTGGATCGGCCATCGCGTCGGCCTGGCTCCTCTCCTCGCGCCTGTTCGCGACGATCTGGTCGTAATCAGCGTGGATCTTGGCAGCGCGTTTTGAAAGTCAGCTTGATGTGCTCGTCGAGAAGCGTTGTCCCGAAATTCCTGCTGCTTGACGGTTTTTGAATAGTTCAGCTTGGAGCGCTCGTCCTGGTTGCCCCGCTCCTGGAGCTCGCGCATCGCGTCGGCTGTCCCCCTGGCGGCCCAGCGCCACTTGACGACCGCGCCCGCTTGCGCGGTGGCCTTGGCAGTCCCGTCGCCGCTCGAGACCGCGCCGCTATCGCGGCACCAAATCACGCACAACTTGGCCTTGCTCGGAATCAGCTCGGAGAGCTGCTCGGAATTCGCGCCGGAGGGCCCCTCGCCCCACTTCTTGACGGGCTCGAACTTCTCGTTGATCGGCAGCACTAGGTCGCGGAGGTGGATGAGCTCGACGGGGACGTCGGGGAGGGAGGGCCATGCCGACGCGCTCGGCGTAGGAGCCGCGGGCGAGGCACTTGGCGCACTCGGCGCCGAGCTCGACGTCCTTCTGCTCGGCAAGCTCGCGCATCCTAGGCTTGAAGCTCGGCATGAGCCAGAAGGGGTGCACGGGCGGCCCCCCGTGGTTCTCGAAGATGTCGTAGACGTTCTCGTCATTCTCGCCGTAGGTCTTACAGAACAACGCCACGGCCAGCTCGATGCTCTTGAGGGGCCCGCCGCTGCAGACCATCTCGAGGACGGCGTGCTGGGCGCTGCTTGACCACAGGGCGCTCTCGGCCTTGAAAAAGCAAGCCGTCATCCTCGCTGCGTCCGTGCCATACGCGCTCGATTGGCACTGGCGCATCTCGGCGATCGCTTTCTTGTCGGTGATGAACGAGAGCTTGTCGAGGATTGTCGAGGATGCGCTCGAGGATCTCGTTTGACTTCGGGCTCTGGGCCACCACCTGCTCGAGGGCCTCGACGGGGAGGCTCGCCGCCGCGGCGCGCTCGGCGGCCTGGGACATGGCTGAGGCTCGCGACGCACTCGGGGGCAACGATGTGGGGGGATAGGCATGGGGGAGGATATCGACCTGGAATCGGCGATACATCGCCGATGCATCGGCGATGCGCGGCCGATCGTGAATTCGCACCTTCCTTGGCAGGCTCGGCACGCCTATCCCCCCCTATTGCTGCCCCTGGGGCGAAAGAGGCTTGGCGCCTCGAAGAGGCTCGAAAGCTTGGTGTCTCGAAGACTCGGGGAAGCTCGGACCTGGGCAGCTGCGGGGGCAACGGAGGGGGGGAGGAGGAGGAGGAGGAGGAGGAGGAGGAGGAGGAGGGGGGAGGAGGAGGAGGAGGAGGAGGAGGAGGAGGAGGAGGAGGAGGAGGAGGAGGAGGAGGAGGGAGGAGGAGGAGGAGGAGGAGGAGGAGGAGGAGGAGGAGGGGGAAGGGCCACGAATCATGTGAGGGGTGCACAAAAAACAATTAACTCCAATGCGCTGCCTGCTCAAAAAAACGCATGTACAATCAACATCCCATCGGACCCCATGGCCCTGCCACACGTTCCTGACTCGGGAACGACTGAGAAAGTGAGAATGCCATGGCCTGCCGCACGTTCGTAACTTGGGCGAACTGAACTGGTGAGAATCCCACAGCCCTGACACACGCTCGTGATTGCGGACGCTGGTGTGGTGAGACCACCATGGCCATGCTCAGCGTTTTTGACGCTGTTGCTACTCAGCATGAGACGATAGCAACTTGGATTCGCAACTTCCCCCGTGGATTATCAAGTTCCGCCTCCGCGCTTACCCCGACAATGCAATCTTGTTGGGCGGGGCTGATAAAAATAAAGGGGGGGAGGGGGGGGGGTCTTGTTTATTATCGCCTGTGCGCGTATAGCTACCCCACCAGGGTGCACTCGGAGTGCGGTGCCGCGCGCAAGTGGAAGGCCTCTGGCACCTGTCACTACAACGCGCTTTGCCACAAAAGGATGGATGAGGCGGCATTGGATCTGGAAGCCGGGTCGGATCGGAACGTGCACCGAATCTGATTAGCAATGAACGGACCCCTGACCCTTTGGGAGGGGGCCGGAGTGAGGAGGGCAAACAATATCAGGGATAGGGGGTCTTTTTCTGCAGATGTATCAAACCAAACGGCCCAAATGTATGATCCGTCATGCGAAGACGGGGACCTCAGTGAGGCCGCGTCTCCACTATATGATAGGGTTCGGGGTTGCTTTATTAGTCGATGAGAATCGAGCCGCATCGGCACAGACTCGAGATCGGTTCGGACCCACCATGCCGGGGTGCACAGCAGCGCCCACGCGATCACCAGGCCGCGCCACGTCGCCAGAGCACCAGAACCGGACTGGGTCGGACCGGCCAGAGTCGACATCGAATCGGATCGACTGGATCGCATTGAACCGTCAAGAATTACCTCGTCAAGATCTGGGTAACACCAGGAGGCCCGCGGCAGGGCCCCGCCGGGATGAGAACGCGGGCGAACTGGGCAGCCCAGACATTCGACGTGGTGACTCTGTTCACAGCGTGACTCCCCAGAGGTCTGGGCCTATTCCCAAAGACAGGTTCTAGATCCTGAGTCGTTTCGTGACGGTCTCGGGACCCAGCAACTGCCCTCAAAAGGCCGAAAACGGCAACAAAAACAAAGGGACGAACCCAGGATGACCATGACCAAGGGTGTCACGGGATCTCGTCGACGCCGAGCTTGGTCATGGTCCATGCTTGCCGTCGCCGTTTCGTGAGGATAATGGAAGGTGACCAAAATCGGCACCCATGCTTCCGCGCTCAATCTTGGTCATGGTCCTCGATTTCTCTCTCTCTCTCTCTCTCTATCCATAAAAACCTCCCGTCGTGATCTTCCCTCGGAACAGAACAAATATAGACATATTCTTGCGAAAGTCCGTGCGGATTTCTTGGATCGGCGCCGGGACCTCCTCTGGCGGCCCCCAGCGCGCTTCGGGCGCCAGACAAGGCCCCAGAGCCTATTCAAGAAATCCGCGCGGACCTCCGAAAAATCGTCGAGACGTAAGACTCCCGTCCGGGGACTCAGGTTGGCCTGACGGGGCCGTCAGAAAAATGACGAGACCCAATCTGACATTTGACGCGGGCTCCAGCTGCAAACATCCCCCGAAAACTGGACAGCCCAAATTTAGGACGGGCCCTTCAAAAAGCGACAGCAAACCCGAGCTCTGACGAAAACTCGAGTTTTTGCACGTTGGCCCGGAACGACTCTGACTAACGCGCTTGCTCTTCTTCAGTTGTCGCGACACCAAGACCTCAGGGGGCCCGGCTCGGGCCAGCCAGGCCTTGCATGACCCCGCGCCCAAAACCGGGTCATCGCACCCCTAGCTCTGCAGGATCCTGCATTTGGCAGACGGGAGTGGAGGGGGGTTGTCTGGCTCTGGACCTCTGCTTAACGCGACTGTGTGCAACAGTGCGTCCTACGGGGGAGACTCCACCTGCTTGAAACAGGCGCGCAGAACAGCCAAGATCTACTCCACGGGGGTGGAAGGGGGAGGGGGTGCGAGGGCCCGCACCGATCGACTAATCAATAAGAAAACGATCACGATCCGGTGCTCTGGCGGTCCCGCGTCTGAAACGGCCCCAATTTGCCATCGCTCGGAGGCCCACTCCTCGTGCATTCGGCGGTCTCGCGTGTGTATGTGCTTACGCAAGATGGCCCAACAGGCACCTCGATGGTCCTCGCCCCCTCTGAAAAAGCACACGTCCGAGCGATGCCAAGAGCCCCAGCAGGCGGGTGATCTGGGCAGGCTGGGGGGGCCACAGCGACTCAAGGAAGGCGGCGTGCGAGGGCGCGCCGCGCCGCGCCTCGAGGCGCATGGCCTGCTCCTCGCCGCGCACCCCGCCCGGACGAACGGGCACCGTCCTCGGCCCTCCCAGGGCCGCCTGGGCATCTCCACGAGAGCGGCACCACTACAGCGTACCACGCAACAGAACATCCTAGAGAGCCGGATCCAGGGCAACAGAACATCCTCCAGAGAGCCGGATCCACGGCACTACTCCAGAGAGCCAGATCTAGGGCAACAGAACATCCTCCAAGTTGGGCGTGAATCAGTTAAGGGGGGCAGGAAGAAAGGTGCCCTTCCCGCGCCCCAAAGGCCCTTCTTCTGGGCCCTGAAGGGCATATTTTCTGCAGCCCTCGCTGCCCCCATGGATGGCCCCTCCCCTTAAGCGTCCTCCGACGAAGAACATGAGACCCTCCGCCGGCCAAAACGCACAGAACATCCAAGGGTGCCCTCCCAAAGACGCACAATAACATTCCACAAGCGCGAAGAACATCAAGGCACCTTCCCACAACCGACATCGATCTGCTACCTCGGTCCGACCGTACTTGGACTTCCTTAGGTCCCGCTTCAACGCGGCACGGTGCACTGTTCACAATAGTTTGGCTCTGAAGGGCCGAGAAACCAACCGTACGATTCCTGGGCCTCGGGAGACGCCGACTATGGTGTACCGTAGCACCCCGTAGATGCGGATAAGAGTGAGGGGGCGGTGGGGACGTCGGCAGTCTGCGCGACTCTGGAGAAGCCCGCCGCAGGCGCCAAAATTTCACAAATTGAACAACGAGCCCGCCGCAGGCGCCGATTTTTTCGCTAAACCAATGTGGGTAGGTCGCGGGTGGGTCGCGGGTGGGTCGCAAATTGGTCGCGGGTGGGTCGGGGTGGGTCGCGGGTGTAGAAGGCAAAATATCCACCCCAAAATAATCCGCCGGCCCCTTGGGGTCACGGCGTCTGAAGCGCTTCCCCCTCCCCAAACCCTTCCCCCAGGAGCCCGGTCCGGCCGGTTTGGAAGGAGGGGGGGGGGGGGGGCAAAAATGTCATCAGGCCCCACGAAGCCCCAGAGGACTCCAAGCAGCCCCCAAGACGGCCCAAGAGGCCCCCGAGACGCCCAAAGGTCGGCCCAGAACGCCCAGGATGGCCCCCAAACGGCCCCAGAAGCCTCCCTGACGGCCGAGGAAGCCTCCAAGAGCATTCCCAAGAGGGGCCCAAGAGGCCAAAATCGTCGAAATCCTATGGGGCAACGTGCATGTTTATCATACACGACTTTTCTGCCTTCACATCTTTGGAGACGGCCCCAGAGTCCCCCAAGACCGCCCCAAAACGGCCCACGAGGCTCCCAAAAGGCGCTCGAAACGGCCCAAGAGGGCGCCAAGACGGCCTAAGAGGCTCCCAGGACGGCCCCAGAGTGCCCCAAGACGGCCCAAAGAGAAGCCCAAGAGTGGGAGCCTGAACCAAGTATCCGAGCCTTCCGCCGCAAAGCGGCCCAAGGGGGGCCCAAGAGGCGTCCATATGGGCCCATGAGGCCCCCAAGAGGCCCCAAGAGGCCCCGAAGAGTCCCCCCAAGAGACCCCCAAGAAGTTCAAAAGAAGCCCGAAATACCACTTGAGGCATGTAACTTCTAACCCGCAAGCCAAGCACCAAGGATCTCAGGCCGACAACCAAGGCACGTTGACGGGATGGACCGAAGGTCACTCTATATGTACATATTTGTACACATACATACACATACACACATACACACATAAACACATACACACACATACACACATACACACATACACACATACATACATACATACATACATACATACATACATACATACATACATACATACACACATACATACATACATACACACATTCACACATACATACATACACATATACACACATAAACATACACACATACACACATACACATACACACATACACACATACACACATACACACATGCATGCATACATACATACATACATACATACATACATACACACATACATACATACATACATACATACATACATATATATACACATGCATACATACATATACATGTATACATATATATATATATACGTACATGCATACATATACATGCATACATACATACATACATACATGCATGCATACATACATACATCATACATACGTGCACATGTACACATGTGTAACACTCGGCACTGCCGGGGCTACCAAGAGCATTTCCAAGAGGGGCCCACGAGGCCACAATCGTCCAATGCCGATGTTTCACAGATGTTCGTGGTCTTTCGACCAGCCGAGGGATCTCCTCGAATTCAGCCTCGAGGAACCGTTTTCGGCGCCCGGGACCACCACCGAGGGTCCGGGGTGAGGATCGACCTCCCTGGCCAGTGCCTCCCCTTCGCAAAAGAAGGAACCCGGGGTGGATCGAGGCTCGAGGCTTGAGACTTATAGTTCTTGGGCACTCTCCGCCCCTTTTGGGCCTTCAGAAAGCCCCTCGTCGACACAGCTGGGTCCACTCTCGAACAACTTCTGGCAGGACGCACCCCCAGCTGGGTCTCAACGATCCCCGAGCCTATCCAGGGGGTGGAAAAGGAGGCCTGGGACAGGCCCCGTGAAGGCCCCAAGCAAACCATATAAAACCACGAAAAACTTCTAAACAATCCCATGCAAGGCCCCCCCTTGAACCCCACACGCTACGTAAGACAGGCCGGAACCCCAAGATTGCCCAGCTATCGCGCGCGTTCCGCGAACTCCGTTTTTCAGTCTTGCTGCCGCCCCAAGGGGTCGGCGGTGCGGCGTAAGCCAATGAATCACCCCGACAAGCGACGCCGTTCAGTAAACGCACACAAGGAATGAATCGAACAGGGCAAGGCTGTTTAATAAACACCAAGGTCCGTCTAATCAACGTCGATTGTCGGGTCCGGGTGGTTTCTCCTCCCTTGAGGGTGGGTCGCGGGGTGGGTCGCTTGGGCAAATTGGAGGAAATTCCAACGCAAGGCCATTCTTCAGTAAGTTGCAGGCAAGTCTCCAGCGAGAGCGCGACTCCAGAGCGCCGGGAGAGCGATTCCTGAATAAATTGTAAGGAAGTCCCAAGCGACAGCGCGATTCCTGAGAAAAACGCGAGGAAGTCTCGGGAGGGAGCGGGGGTCGTGGCTAAATTGTAAGGAAGTCTCAAGCGGGAGCCGTTGTTGTTGTAACCCGAGGGCCAGGGGCCCAGTTTGAGCAGGAAGACTTTCCATGTCAAAAAACAGGGTGCGAGCGTCGAGAGGCACACTTTGATTGAGAAAAAACCGTATGCACTGGTGGGGGGGGATCAACAATAATTATTCTTCAGAAATGAGAATTCAACAACAACAACAACAACAACAACAACAACAACAACAACGACAACAACACCAACAACTACAACAGCAACAACAACAACAACAACGCAACAAGCATAACTTTCACCACACAGTCCCTATTTAGCCACGCACCCAGGGACAATGAATACCCGTTCGGCCCCCTCACTCTGACACATGTCGTCCGTTGGTTCTCCACGGGTACTCGCCATGAAAGAAGCGGGTCATGAAACAACGGGTCTTGATGTTGTTCCACCGTTGTTTGCCTCCAACGAGCCGGGGACTATCAGAGAAAGGCTCAGAGCGGAGGGCTCGTCCTGGGGGAAGGTCCCGAGGTCGCCTCGCCTTGCGAGAGTTCGAAATGTATCCACCCCCAAACATGCTCGGCATCGTGAACAATCTCACGACAAACAAGTTGTGTTGCGATTTTGGGCCACCAAGGGCCCTCGCTAGGCCTTTGGACCGTGAACAAAACAGCTCGGGATGAACAACTGCCCCTGGAGAAAAGACTGAAAGTCAAGGCACTGGATGCCTGGGGGAGGAAAGCTGAATAAGGAACAAAGGGCCTTTTCTGGCCACAGCGCACCTCGGTCAAGAATGGGATCCCCGACCTACATCTAAGGACCGGCCGAAAACCAGAGCATCTCTTGAGCCCCAAATGGTCCTCATGTCGGCATCGTACCTGTATCCCCGACATCATTCTGTGCCTTGTTGAACAAATCAGGGCGGAAATTTCTGTTGCGCCCCCTCGGGGACGTGTCTCGCGCCCTGGGGCCGTCCGGAAACGATCCGGGATGAAACGTAGGCCTTGGGGATCGGGTCGGACCTTTTGGGGACCCCGTACTATCACAACACATGGATCGAAACGACTGTGAACGAACATCGGATCGGGATGACTCGGCTCGGAGTCGGAATCTGATCTGATCGGCCGCGCCTGGATGCACAACCCCCACAGGGGGGGGGCACAGACGCGGAGAAGTCGAGTCATTGTGGCGACGCGGGGGTGGTGTACGTTTTCGCAGCGGAAGAAGGCGTCGCAGAGGCGGAGAGTCGCGCCTCGCGCGCAATCCTTGCGCTCTGGGGCCCAGCTTAAGATCACAAAAGAAACATTACAACTCCGCCGACCATTCGGCGTACGTGAGACACTGCCATCGTCGTTGTCGTCGTCGTCCTTGTCCTCGACCTCGTCCTCGTCCTCGTCGTGTATTATTTGTCCCTGCTCCTTACCTGACGGGGGGGTATGGTGGGGGTCAAGACAGCCTCCCCGCCCGCAAGCCGTCTCGCTCACCCGCACCCGCCCTCCCAACACATAAGCAGCGCCCGAGGCGCAGCGTGTTAAGCAGTAGTCTTTCGATGGACAGCTTGTGAAAACCCAAACAGGCCCCATTTGCGCAAGGCTGAGGCAAGATGCGCCAGGCGTGCCAGGCGCGCCACGCGCGCCAGGTGCACCAGGCACCCCTGTGGCCCAAGCGTGCCAGGCACGCCTGGTGCGCCGCGTAATCCACGCGCGCCACGTGTGCCTTATGCTCCAAAAGCTCCAGGTGTGCCTCGTTCGGGGCACGCGTAGAATGTGCCAGTTGCGCCTGCGCACGTGGCAGTACACTTCGGGAAACGCGTCGGCCCCCTGATCACCTTTATCGAACACCATTGCGCAATCGCGACGGGGTGTGCCCTCATAGCGTCTGGTGTACCTGCACATAGCAGGCAATGTGCCAGCACCCCCGC